TGAAAAAGTCATAACTTGTTCATTTTCAATCTTTTTTATTTTCTTTTTTGTAGGTTATGGAGCATTCCTTGAAGATTAAAATAGCCACGTATGATGTCCAGCAACAAATAAAATTCATTGAGTTTTTCTATTTCTGTGAAAAATCAATTATTCAAATCCGGAGAAAATATCGACTACATTTTAATGTCAGAATATCTCCTAACGATAACATGATTCTTAATCGCCCGGTTTGAAAGAACTAGATTAGTCGGTGATCTTCCGGGAAGAGGTCCTAAGCGCACTGTGCGCACTGACGCAACGGTGGAAGCTGTACGGCAGAGTGTCCTTGAAGATCCATCTGCCTCTACCCGTTGTTGCTCTGCTGAACTCGGCGTCGCCGGAATATCGCTTCAGAAGATTCTGAAACTAGATTTAAAAATGTTTCCATACAAGATCTAAATGATGCAAGCTTTACTACCCCAAGATACTCAGCAGCGCTTGCAGTACACCATTCGATTTCAGCACCTAGCCAGAGATAACAACTTTTTGAACAACTTGATAATGAGTGATGAGGCCCATTTTCATTTAAACAAGTACATCAACAAACAAAACTGCAGGTTTTGGGTTACTGAGAATCCCAGGGAATTACATCAATTGCAATCAACCTGTTGCAATCTACACATTTTAAAGGCTCGGAGGCAACTGAGCCGGGTCTCCTAGCTCACGTGACACCCCTCATTACCGATCTCGCCCATAGAGACCGCCCTTCACTCCTTCCCATTGGCTAGAAAAAACCAGTCCCGATATTTATTGGACAAACAATAAATAATTTGCCACCAAATAATTAACCAATAAATAATTTTGAGTTTTATAACAATAAATAATTTACCACCAAATAATTAACCAACAAATTATATTACATTTAATTTGCTATGTTTAACCACTATATATAACTTTATTTTATAAGTGCATTTGTTTGAAAGAGTAAAAAAATAATAGCAAAAAAAGGAAAAGAAACGAATAAAGAATGTGAACGAATTCTTGGCCCGTATTGTGAACTCTCTTTTATCGATAAAAGTGCTTTAAATGTGGTTTCTTAGCCAATCATATTGTTTCTAAGCTATTTTTAGAGGCACTTTCAATTTTCAGGCTACTATCAATAAAAGAGAAATCAGAATATGGATCTTTATCTCTTAGGAAGAAAAATATGTGCATCGTAATCTCTTTCTAGAATTATTTTTCGAAGATTCAAATAGATTTAAAAGATAAGAAATATATACTATTAAAAACAATTACGCTACTAATTATTTTTATGGTAGCATGCTCAAGTTATCAATAAATTTTCTGCACAGTTAAAAATATACAATCTTTCTTGCAAGTATCATTTATCCTCAACAAGTTTTGCCATATGTATAGAATTTTCTTATTCCTAGGGATATTTGTACACAGTACATTTATTGTAGGTCTGTTCGTTTTCGCTGCACCGCCGAACTAGTGCAATAAGTTGAAGTGAGAAAACATATACTTGTCTCTCTTCAACTTATTGCACTAGTTAAGCGGTGCAGCGAAAACGAACAGACTTTGTATCATAGTTCACACTAGACCCATCGACATACTCGGGGATTATTGGCTCATATTGTTAAAATATCACGGAAATAGAATGAAATCTAAATTCCAATCTATATTCCCAATCGTAGTCTACAAAATGTTGATTGGTTGAGCTTCATGTTCCAATATGATACCCAAACTCATTCTTCAATTTCAATCCAATAGTGTGATAATGGCCACTTTCAGCAGAACGTTTAATTTGCAACTGTTGGAATTTTCCTATGCTGACATTGGATTATTCCTGTACTAAAAGAATAATCCAATCTCAATTCAGAAAACTTCCAACAGTTGCAAATTAAACGTTCCGCTGAACGTGGCCAATGATTTACAATTTTAATTCAGACTTGCTGTGATTTCATTGGTCGATTACCAATCCCCAATCCCAATCCCTAATCCACAGTCTGATATAAGCTTTAGAGAGCAGCGACGAAGTAGAGAAGCCGCAAGCGAAACGGACGAGCGCCTCAGGGAGGCGTTTCGGTCACGAGTCTCATGGAAAACCGCCCATAGCTCGTATATAGAGCGTCCTGTCAGTAGTGGACGGCTTTCACGTTGGTGGTGCGAGTGCGGTCACGAGCGAGACACTCGGTTCTTACGACGATCCTACGTGCGTGCGTATCTCGATCTAGCGTTATCCCACGCACACGGTCAACACGTACGTGTTGCTGCTGTGTCGTCGCCGCGACTGAATTCGGCTATCGACACATCGTGACTGTGCGCATCCCGCAACGCAGCCACGCGCTTCCATGAGCCAACCGTCGTAATGAGAACTGCTGATTGTCACCGTCGCCGTCGCCGCCACCGTCACCGAGTGTTTATCTCCGCCGACATTCAGCCTCGCCTCGCGCCATCCGTGAACAGCCTCTTCTCCCGCGTACCGTCGTCTTCGTCATCGAGGTGGTGGTGCCCGTGAGGACGATGCTCCGCGTCGCGGAGAAGCGTCGTTAGTGCCGTGTTGCGTCTGTCTCCGTCGCTCAGCTCACGCGCGCGTCTCACAACGGTTGGCTGATGGATTCCGCGTGAGAGGACGGACGAATAAGAAGGAGAGAGGGATAGAAAGAAAGAAGGAACGAGAGAGAAGAAGAATCGAGTGAGAACCATCGGGACGTGCTCTTCGTCTATCGCGTGGGACACCTCTTCGTCGAGAAGTGAGTAACGAAACGAGTCTCACCTGCATGAGTACACGCGATGTCGCGCGTGCTTATGTGTTCTCTCTCTCTTGCTCCGCTTCGAGAGGGGGCGAGCGAGAGAGGAAGCACGGAAGGAGATAGAAAAAGAGAGCGAGCAATCGTGCGAGTAATTACACGCGACGTGTGTCGGCGCGGCCAAGAACGACGCGCGTCTCAAGGTTGACACATGTCGCCGATCTGGCGGCTCTCGGGTCGCATAATAATAAGAGGCGCGCAGGAAAAGCCAGACAGAGCGCACTGTGTGCAGCATACACGCGTAACAGCGCACTCGATATAGTGCACGGCATCGCACCGCATCGTGCTGTTCTGTGCGAAGACGCAATAACACGGGCCTTCTCTCTGGGCGCGTTCGAGGAGCGCTATTAGGCGCTATTAGCGCTGATCAGCGCTAACGAATCAATCTATCCTTGTCGTATATCTAATGAGGGACGAAGATAAAATTACGCGTTAGCGTTGGTAGCGTGCTCTCCGAACGTAGCCTCTCTCTTTTAGGCCGCGCTCTCCGCGTCACGTTCTCGCGATTCGAAATGGCACAGTCGCGAGCGGCCGCCGAAAAGCGGTCGGGGAGCGAAGGTAAGAGTCACGAGAAAGTGCAGAGAGTGCAGATGGGCGCGTGGATCCGGCGCAAAAGGTGATAAATCATAGGATCGGTCTCTGCGTTGCACGCTTATCTTGCGGCGATATTTCTCGGAATTCCGGAGCTTCAGCGAGCCGCGTCGCACTTCGCCATGGACCTCTTTGACGTATGTGTGCATGTGTGCGCGCGCATTTCGTGCACGTAGGTACGTCATCGTTAAACGTAACGTAACGCGCGGAGTAACGACGAAGGTTAATCGACGCGGCTTCGATCTCGCTCTCTTTTGCTCCGTAATCCCGCGTATTCTTCTTCCCCTTCACCGTCGCGCGCGCGCGAGAGATTCTTCTCTCCCTATGTATGTGCGCGCGTTCGTGCGTTCAATGCTGCACGGTTCGATTTATTTTCAGTGCAGAAAGCAACGAGAGAAGGACGGTGTTGGTTAGAAAGCGGCGGACGAAATTGACAGTGTGTCGGTTGTTGCGAAACTTATGCAGAAACGTAGCGAACGACCGACTCGGAACTGACAATTAATCGTCTCTCCCTTTCTCTGCGTACTGTCCCTTTCCGCGCGCTCTTCGTCCCACCTTGAACGATCTGGACGAAAAAAAAGTCGGTCGACCGGAATTAGCGCTAATCGACGCGATCCGTCCGTTCGTCGAGAGCGGGGACCTGCTTTCCCCGCGGCCGTTCGTCCCGACGCGCCGCGATGACACTGCGATTAAAACGCGGCGCCGGGCACGAGGACTCTGTCCGAGGGCATATTCCTCGGCGGTGTTCCGCCAAGTTGTTTTAAAGTAGTTGCTCCGTGACAATACTGCTGGTGAGGTAATGGTTGATACAACTCGAATAAGACCGGCGAATTTGTGCAAAATGCTTTTAAGGCCAGTTTGACACCACCTCCGGTTAACTTAACTAATCCGCTGATTATTCCATTAGAATTGAGCGATCACATTTTATCGTTAAACAGGACCGACCAGAGATAACTAATCACGACTGACACTTAACGGTCGGTTAAGTTAATCGGAGCTTAGATATGATTCATGAATTCGTGAAACCGGCCCTTACATATGATTCATGATATACAGCCTCATACGCAGCACACTTTATCCGATGAACATCCTGAGATTGTCCTTGGAATGTCCTTTGGAGATCTGTGCTGCATGGGGCTTTGACATTATAGCAAAAGAATATCAATTATAAATTATATGATATTTAAAAACTTATAAATAATCATTTCCCGCACTTTGACGAATAATACTTTTGACTGGGACTCCCCGCATAATAAAAAATGTGTTAAACAATTGTGTTTAACAGTCCATTGAAAAATTGTACATTACTTTAACACAGGGAATGTATTTAAATATAATGCTAAATCAATGCATTCACCTTGTCAACATATATTGGCAAGATATTATATTATATACAAGATTAATATATTGATTTAACATTATATTTGTGTTTTTAACATATTTCAACACATTTGCTGATAAAATTACAGTAATACAAAATTTCACCAAGGGCTGTTTTTTTATTATGCGTGTTAGGCATGTGTTTCTGAATATATTATATTTTGATAAAAGTGAAGAACGCGAATACGTGCTACTATAGAAATAATCGTAACGTCAGTATTTTTTCTGAATTTTCTGCATCTCTACGTATTGATGTTATAGATCTTTAATATTAGTTATCAATTAGTTAACAGTTTTATTTTTAAAAACATGCCTAATCTCAAGAGACAAGAAGGGAAAAATATATAATGCATACAATATCACCAAATCCTTACAAATTGTCTCAAACGTTATCAGAAATTGTGTACGTTAAATATTAGTTTCTGGGAAACTGGGTAATCGATTAATATGCTGTTGAAATTTGAAAAGATTTCTAGGAAAACAAATTTACGAACTAACTATCCTAACTACAGTTGCCGGTGAATCGCGACTACCACGGCGTCAAGTCGACTCCGATGTTGACGCGTCTCCGACACAGTCACGGAGAATCGCGAAATCGCGGAATTACGGATGCTTCTCGACACCCGTACGGTCTCGCTTCACTCTTCAGTCCGCGATCGTGAAAACGCGCGAAGTAACGTCCCACGTGTGTCAATGCTCGGACTGGAGCGTATATTGACGATGTAAATATTGATGCGTAATATGCACATGCAAGACACGTGTGTACGTTTGTCGTTACAACTCGTCGATGTCTGTTACAGGAGACGGGACATCTTAATCTCGGGGCATCAGATAGTCGCCGATAAGATTGTACGTTAGGTAAGCTGATTCGCAATTAACATTGGCTGATACGAGGAACAATAAGACATAACGACGGCGATAAGACAATGAGCGTGTTTTTACTTTTTTCCCCGCTGTTCTCGGGATGTGCTTCTTGAAATGCGTCGCGCGGATAAGTCCGGATTTACCATAGGTATAGGTAGAGCTTTTTGCTCGAAGCAATAAAATGTAACATAATTTCGGACAAAAGGCATTTCCCGCGCTATGGGAAATTGTAATAACGCTAACAATTCTTTGGGAATTGCGATATCTCATAACGCTGAAGAAACGCTTTTTGCTAGAAGTTACAATTTAATTCTCGGAGCATTAAAAGACTGAAAAACTTATTACACCTGTTGTAGATCCGGACTAACGGCCACAAGAACCAAAGCTAATTGCTTCCCCATTGCAGAGCAGACATGGACAGTTCCGAGGAGCCGACCAGTTTGCAGTCCATATGCCACTTGCACGCCTCGGAGCTGTTCCCCAAGCACGCGCATCTTGAGTGCGAGGACGAGACGTTGACGGTGCCGTTCACGCCGTTGAGCGGTGAATCGGTCGTCGCACTGGGACGCACGTCGGACGGGGTGCTGGCGCTTTCGAATTACAGACTCTACTTGCAATTAAGCCAGACGTGTTACAATATACCCTTGGGCCTCATCGAACAACTGGAGGTCAAGGAAATTTTCTTCTTGCATATCGGATGCAAAGACGCGCGTTCTTTAAGGTATAATTCTTATTATTTTTCATGTGTCGCGATAAAAATAATAGATAGATACGCGTGATATATCGACGTGTATAAAATGGAATTCGTATTATTAGTTAGTTATATTAGTAGAGGAGAAAAATTTACAGAGGTATGGTAAACCGATATATTTATGTTATTCGGCTATAAAGTACGGTTTATAAACCCTGTCGGACAATATATGAACTTCGTTTACTATGTATAGTTGGAACTGATGTGATCATTTCTGTTTGCAAATGCATTTGGTTGTGTTATTATAGTGTCATTTTTATTTTTCGTTGTACTGAAGTTTTATTGAGTTTTCTTCTTGTGAAAATTAAAATAATTACAAATTAATGGTAAGTAGTTTATTTGACAATGTTACTTTATAGTATAAGTTAGAAACATTTTAAATCACTTTGGATCTCGTGTTAGTCTCTATTCTCCGTTACTGAGTTACACAAGATAAGTTAAAATTGAATTGTTCTGCAAATCGAGATACTTGAGTTTATTCGTCTTTCAACCAATTTATTTTAACTTTGCTATGAAATATCATTTCAAAATATAGATACAGAATACAGATACAGATGAAACCGTCGGTGACTGATTTTCTTCTATTTTTTCTATTTGTTTAAGATTCTCAGAAAGAAGTCGGGTAATTCCTTTCCAAAATGATGAAGCGATATATATTATACATTGTTTTAAGTTCTAAAT